ATTCCTTAATGCTACTTTTCCATCCATTATTTTTAGATTTATTACCTTTGAACATTCAAAATAGCTGCTAGGGGAAGGGACTTGGAAGAAAGAAAGATAATAATTGGAATCTAGCAACACCATATCATGTAGATAATCTGTGATGTTTCTTTCTTTTTCTTCGTTCTCTGAATATAGGCTAAGCCTATACTTAAGAGAGTTATGAGTTTTCTAATTAATTCCTTATGAAGAATTGTTCAGGGGATCTGAGCCTTGTTGATTATAAATGGAAGTGACTAAGTAAACTTGTAGCTTAATGGAGCCTCTGTTTACATACTGCTCGAGTATGATGCCACAAGTTTTTCTCTGATACTGTGCTTGATGTTATGAAGTTACTCACTTACTGTAAATCTCTAGTAATTGCCTGAAATTGGTTTATGCTGAGCATTCAAGTTCTTTGTGGTTTTAGCACTGAATATAATGATTGGGAAGTTCATTTATTTCAGCAACCTGGGATAATTCTATTTTTCCATGTGAACTATACTCTAGCTTTTAGGGCAATGAAAACTAGGGAAAGTGCTGTGCGGATTGTTAAATTTCAGATGCACCACCTTAGCTAGCTTGGTAACTGATATAGTGATTGTGGACGCACCTTAGTTAACTTGGTAACAGATAAGTGTTCCCTTCTTTCTGAATGAACTAAATGATATGGTATCCTCTCTTTGAGCACATACGTCTACATTTACATGTGTATGTTTATGGCTTTGCTCGAATAACTTTGCATTTCTGAGACCCAATATTTAGCTTCTTGTGTTGTAATTGCAGATTCTTCCAGATGATATCCGTCAAGCTTTGTTGGTGGTGGTTGAGTGCTGCATGAAGCGGGACTACCTAGCTGCAATGGACCAATATATCAAGTTGGCTATAGGCAATGCACCCTGGCCAATTGGTGTGACTATGGTTGGCATCCATGAACGTTCAGCCCGTGAGAAGATCTACACCAACAGTGTTGCACACATAATGAATGATGAGACAACTCGCAAATACTTGCAATCGATCAAAAGATTGATGACATTTTGCCAACGCCGTTACCCAACGCTTCCATCAAAAGCAGTTGAGTTCAATAGCTTGGCTAATGGTAGCGACTTACAGTCACTACTTGCAGAAGAGAATGTTTCTGGGGGTTCAGAGGACATGCTTAGGCTGATGCATGTTCCGAAGGAAACTTAGTTATCATTTATATTGATGTTCTATGCTATGATGTAACATTGTAAAATACTTGAGAAATGTTTGACTGACAGAACTTACTTATGTCCACATTATTGCATCTTATGTCTTTAAGCAAAACATTCTGATGTTTTAGTAGTTTCACTTATCTCGAAGGTTGGTGGAGGCGCTTGGCTGGGTCCGGTGGCAACAGCAAATAGACCGGCCTTGGAAATCCTATTTCATTTTAATATATATTTATATCATTTGGTATATATTAACATACAGTCGCAATTGTTTATGTCCATATAAATATTGGTATAATGGTATATGTATTTTAATGACTATATCGGTATACCTATTGTGTAAACAGATATATCAATCTAGGTTGGTTCATTTATATATCTTCTAATATGAAAATTGCACTTGTAAATAAAATGAAAAATGAGATCTAGGTTAATTGTTATCGGATTGTAAACTCTAGTTGCCATGGCTTCAATTATAAATTCATTATTTATCATTAATGTCAAAATAGAATAGATTAAACTATTTGAATGACGACACGAATCAAGTTAAGTCAGTTGACATAGTTGAAGAGATGATTGAAAATTCATTGTCAAATAGTTAAGTGTAATCACCCTATATTGATTGTGGGCTTCACAAAAACGATTGGGATTTGTTCAATTTTTGATGCAAAGTTGTGGAGAGTATTCGAAGGACTGTCGATGTCATGAAATCGGGGGGTGAGGGATGTTATCGTTGAAAATGAAGTATGCTCTTTTGCTCCTTGTTTGAGGTGTGGATATGGAATGTCTTTCTCTCATTGTTATGCACATTGTTGAAATACTTAGACGGGAGTGGAGGTTATTGTTTTAGTTTGTGCCTCGTGAGTGTAATATGATCGCGGATGGCTTAATCAAGCTTGTATGGAGGCTGTCATTTGGTTCTCATTTGTTTCAGCAGCTGCCTGGTTTGATAAAGCGTATGCTGTCCGAGAAGAGGATGCACGCCTTGGACATTGACGGAGTCAATATATGACGAAACACCCCAAAATTTCTAAAAGAAAAAAATATATAAATTATATATATAATATGAATGAAAATAAATGATTTAACGGTTAAAAGGGTTTTGATGCCCTTAAAAAAGAAATTAACTTTATATTTTTAAACAACTTTATATAATTTTATTTATATATTATAATTTAGATGAAAACCGAATGTCCAAGGTTTTAACACCCTTAAAAATAACGGGTTGGGTACCCGATCTGTCGACACGTCGATCCAGTTAAAAATACTGAATATTTATAATAAAAATATCTGATTTTACAGATCGGATACTCAACCCGCTATTTTTCTTAGATTTCCGAGTTGGGCTTGGGTCACAAAAATCTTTTAACCGGGTGCCATCGACCCAATACTCTGTTTTTTTAATTTAATTTAATTTTCGATAAAAAAATTACATATTGGTTTCTTTAGATATTAAATATTATAAAGCTTCGAGCATTATTCAGAATTATGGGCAGCCTCCTGGATGATTAGAGAGGGACAATGAATTGCCATTCGGTCACATCCACTCCACAGATTAATTCCCCCCCACCCCCAGAAAATGCATGAAGTGAGAGAACAAATGTAAGAGGCAATGGCTTCAAGTTGCTAATTTTGGGAAACCACCCTTCTAAAATAAAACTCCCGAAACAACTCGATCTTAATACGATCATGGAAAGACAAGTCCCTAAATTTGTTAGGAGTTAGGACAGAAAGAAATGATAGAGTAGAACTGTAGAAGGAAGTGAAAATTGAACATGTTAACCATGGAAAAATGAAGTTGTTCAATAAAGAGAACATTAAAGGCTAAGTAGCTTCCTTGTATAAAAAATAGAAGACATGTGACACTTGGCCATTTCATTCTCGAAATGCTGTTGAGCATTAACAACTGGGACACTGCAATGTTATGCACAATTACTTCTCCTTTTGTTTCCTTTTATCTATCAAGCCATTCGTATTCACATTTGAAATATGCTTACTGCAATCAATCTTAGTCATTATATCCCCAAGAACATGTAAAATCTTTAATCTATAAAGAAACTAATAAGTTCAAAGCTTTACAATCTAATAATCAATTTATTTTTATATAAAAAACCCGGATACCATATTACTTGAATTAACGAGTACTCAAATTTTACGGATATCCAAACTAACGAATACCCAAACATTCTGGGCCTGATCATAGGTCGACTTCTTGGTATCATACTTTCTCTATATCGATACTTCAAGTATTCAAGAAAATAGGTATCCGGATTTAAATACCCTTATCTAAAATTGTGGTAAAAAATTACAAAATATACATGAATAATGATGAGCCGGTGACGGTATGACATAAAATAATGCAGATTAAAAATAACAATTAATTCAGATAGGTTGTTATTATAATATCCAAAACAATTTAAATAATTGATTAATCAATACAATAATTTTTTTAAAAATAAACAAATAGACGCAAAGTGTCCCATGACTGATGCAAACAGTCACTCAACTGTTTTATATATATATTTATATGTATGTTAAAAAATATTAAGAATAAAAAATGTCGACATGCACAAAGAAAGAATGATTCTATTCAAGCTTTCGATCAAGACAATAGAACCCTCCCAACAATAATTTCTACTTTGTATTTTTAAAGTTTAAGAGAGAGAGAAAATACTACGCGGGATCATAATATCAATACATTATTTGATTGCATCTTTTTAAATTTCCTAACTTTTTATATTTAATTAAATTTAAATATAAAATTTAATTTTATATTTTGGTAAAGAAACATAAAACTGAATCAGATATCTAATGTTAATTGAAACTTCATTTTATCAGTAATCATTTCATCACTAAAGTAATTGCCAATTTAATCTTTATACTTAAATTGATATGATTTAATTAGTAACTAATTAGCCTAAATAAATAATGTTATATATTGTACGAATCAAGTGACTCCGGCAATTAAAGGTGTGGTTGTTATACTTTAAGGTTTTGGGTTTGAACATGTCGTTTGTAAATATATTTGAACATTTATCACCAATTGATTTAAAATATTTCAAACATATATTATCTTATAATAGTTTATATTAATATAATAATATTATTATTATATATTAATTAGAATGTTACAATGATTTTCTTCCTAAAATGTCATTTTTAACAAGCAGAGACAAATTCATAATTTTGTGTATTAAAAGATTTTTTATAAAAATTATTTTTAATAAGATATATCTATTTTTATTAATTGACAAAATGATAAACAATTCATTTTATATTATATTTTATTAAAAATGTCATGTAATATAATGATTCAATTACTATTAAATATGTAAATATATCACATCGATTATTATTAATGTATTAATTTAAAATAGTTTTTAATTATATTAATTCTAATATTTTTTATTAATATTAATTCTAATATTATTTTTTGATTTTGATAACTAAAATAGAAAATATTAAAAATCCGATGAATATTATTATAGTTTATCCTTCTAATTATAATAATTATTTATTTTAACTATTTGAACAAAATTAAAATAGAAATACTAAACTATGGTAAATTCAAGTACAGTCTAAAAGTACAATTTTGCCATTAAAATATTATATTAAACAATGATTAAAGGTTCGCCTAATACAAACACACACAATCATACATCGACGACATGAAAAAAGAAACAAAGAAAATCGTGAAAACCCAGAAATCCTTCCACGTACACGCCACGTGTCTGTCAATTTAACCTTCCGTACAATAAAAATGAAATAAAAATTCACCCAATATAACTCATCTTTCCCGCATCCAGCACCACCCGCTATGGATACCCTCCTCCACCCTCCTCCGCAAACTAGTTCCTCCTCCACTTCCATGGCCAAACGCCCTTGTTCCTCTTCTTCTCAAAACCCTAGGCTTCCTTTTCACTTCTCTCAAATGGATCATCTCCTCCACTCTTTCCTTTCCTTCCCCGATTCCTCCCTTCCTATTTCTCTCGACCTTTCCTTCGACCGCCTCCTCGATTGCTCCCCTTCCGACGCCGATCAAGCTCTTCTAATCGATCGCGCTCACAACCTAGGTTGCCTCCTCCTCCGTGCCGCGAATCGTTCTGCTCGGAAACGTGCTTCGCTTCATAACTCCGTCGCTTGGGTCCTCCCTCCTGATCTTACCATCAAGGTAGTGCTTCTATTCTGATCGACGGATTTGATTTTATTATTTATTTGTTTCTTTTTTCCCTTTTGTGATGTGTTAATGTTATTATATCATTATTGCAGGTGTTTTCGATGCTTGATTCGCAGAGTCTTTGCTACGCCGCGGCAACGTGTTCGATGTTTCACAAGTGTGCCATGGATCCTTTCTGCTATGCCAATATTGATCTAACTACTGTCGTGCCCAAGGTTAATAATGCCGTTGTTTCCACCATGATCCAACGAGCTGGAAAATCACTCCGGTAAGATTTGCTTTCTGTTTTTGCTATCATAATTCAGCATTTAATTCTAGTAGTAATTGCCCTACCTTGACTATGTTCAATGCTTGAATTGCCTTTTACGTTGTGAAATTATTAAGAACAAACTCTATTGATCCCTATATATATACTTAAAATTTATTTATTAGGATGTTACTTATTAGTATCTCAAAGTTTGTTTTTGCCTGTTCCTTTATGCTATATTTGTTACAGAAAAGAATAGCGCGGCTTAGTATTATCTAGTTTATTTGTATTTTCATATGGTTGTTTATTTTTTGAATGGTTATTTAGATCTCTTAAGCTCGGTATAGTACCTGGAACAACTGGGTCTCCTGGTTCCAGTCAACCGTTGGTTTATACCATCAGGAACTCTGTAGATGTATCCAACTTTTCATGGAATGATAAAAGGATCAGGCAAGGGAAGGAATCATCCATTCTTACAAGGACATGCTTGTATCCATTAAGTGGGGACAATGGAGCCACTGGGTATGGTTCTATGCATTAACTACTTGTTTAGAATTGATAATGTGTGACAATTTGTTCTGATTAGTTGCTTTTTCCCTACTGTAAGGACTCTTTTGAGGAGGTTGCATCTTTACAATATCGAAAGGATGGATAATGCATCACTTTGTGTGGCATTAGCAGCATGCCCTTCTTTACTTGATTTGGAAATTGTTGGCCTGTGAGTTTCCTTATTTAAGCGGGTTCAGCACTTTTCTTTCTTACCAACACAACCCATCTTGTTTTTCCTTATTTTTTCCCCTTTTCTTTCTGTCCACTTGATTTTGCAGAAAGCTATTGTAGTTGGATGATGTTATGAGCAGTAAAAGCTTAAAAGTTGTTTCTTAATATAGATTTATTGATAAAATTACAAAACTCACAGAGAGACTGATTTCCAAGTGCATGATCGTAAATCAGTGTACAGATATTCATAAAGAGCTGAGCAATTGAATTCAAAATATGGACATTAGTTAAACAATGAACAATCACTTTGTTATTATCCAAATCATTTCAGTTCTTAACACAGTCTAATGTGCAGTTCGTGATGACAATACTGATTTAGATAGTAATTGTTTGAGCAGAGTAGCTGGTGTTTTTCTATTCAACCTTCTAAGTTGTTGTCCCTCCTTTTAATGCAGTCATGTTGAGCTGAGGCAAACCTTGATGTCAGTGAGCTCAAATTGTCACTTCATAGAGCGTTTATTCTTTGAGTCTTCCAAAACAGGTACCAAGTTTGTTCATGAGTTTTTCTTTTCTAAATGCTAGAAGTGTCTTCTTAAAGTGTTATGATAATGCAGGAGGTGATGAAAGCTTGAAATCGCCAACATGTTTTGAGCTGGTGAACAACTGTCCTAATCTTTCTTCTTTGTCGCTGAGAGGCTTTAAACTGCATGATTGTAAAGTACGCATACTTGTTAAGGTATGCACTCATTTAATGTTGTTTAAAATTTTCTCTGTTTTGGTTTGCATTGCAAGAGCATGCTTAATGGAATGAAATCTTGTCAAACGTTTAAAATCCCATGAATAAATTGATAGGGGGACAGGGTTTCATTATACTTTATTCAGGTCCTTTTTGCTAATTTTTTCCTTTCTTGATTTTTTTTACTTGCATTCAATTTATATAGCAATTTTTTTTAATAGGGACAAATTCAACTTTTCCCAATAAAATCAGAAATTCTAAATTGGTTTCTTGACAAGGTTCAATGGCAATGGTTTGAAAGTATTTAGGAAGGGTGGGTATGCAACTTTGCATACATATATGTTGTTTTCTGGAAGAATGGTGATCCTCTTTTATTATACTCTTTTATTATACTAAACTGAACGGTGGTCTTATCACTTGCAGGGATTCCGTAAACTTAAATATGTTGATTTTTCAACGTCATACTCAATCACTGGAACCTTTTTGAGGTCCATGCAGCCCTTGTCAACCATACTTATAAGATTCTTTTGAAGTCCTATTTTTTCAACACTTATTTTTACACACTACTCAGAAGTTCTCTCTTTGATCAGGAATTTGGGCAATGGCAGTGGTGGAGATCTACTAGAGGTTTTAATATTGAGGGACTGCATGCATCTAAGAGAGGTGAGAACTAAAGAAGCACTTCCTCCTACAGAAAGCACCTCACTCTCCTGTCTGACTTTTTAATTCTCACACAGATGGAAGTTGCTCGGTTCTTGACAGCTGTTTTTGAAGGAGATTTTAAGTTTCTTAAACATCTTGTGAGTGAAGTTCATATGTAAATATGATTTCACTGTACTTACTTTTTGGTGATTCTACTTTTGACCGTGCTTCTTTCAACTATAGGACATATCTAATAGGGAAGGTTTAGCTTCTGAAGGTGACTGGTATCAGAGATCTTACAACTCCAGGTAAATAAACCCTTTGTGAGTTCTTTTATACTGCTGACGTTGGTTTATCTTTTATTAACATCTAATGCTGTTGTATCTCCTGTAGCTTTATTCCTTTGAAGCAAGTTTCGGAAGTAAGACCTGATGTTTGTTTGCTGGCTGAGTTTCCATCAGAAGGATGGTATGGTTTACTACTTATTTAGTGGTTGCAATATTGTTTTTACCATTTTTAACCATCGAATAAACATTTTTAGCTAAGAAAATGGGAAGCTGCTGGGAAATGAATTTTGCGTTGACTTATTTTTCTTGTCATTGCAGCTTCCTCGACATAGACCACATGATTGATAGTGATATTAACAGTGAGCTCAGCCTGCCATTCCAGCAGAGTGATCATACTTATGATGGTACAATGCTCACGAGTTCATTAGATAGCAATTATAATAGTGATCAGGGTAGCGGTAATGAGGAGTATCAAGATTCAGGTTTTGTAATTTATGAGGAAAGCTCAGATGAGGTGGATTTCCTGGTCTAGAAAAGATACCAGTATAGCCGAGTTTTGAAACTCTCAGCCACTAAATGCACTGGTATTATCATCTCATCCTTCTGATTTTGAAAATTGTGGACCATCTAGTTTATGCTTTAGGATTGCCAAGTAGTTTCCGTCTCATAACATAAGATGAGTACTTTCTTGGCATTGAAAATAGTGCTTGATGCTTCCATGTTCATGAATGCTCGTATTCATAGCTGCACTCATACACAAACTAGGGAATGGTTATAATCCAAAACTGTCTTGCTCGACAAGTATTAATTCAGTTATATCCAAGTGTAGCGGCACCTGAATAATGTCAGACTATAATTGCTGAAACGTTGCCTTTATTTGTCTCCTGTCCTCGGAGAATTTATGGGTACTTATGAATATTGATAGGAGGAAATAATGATGTGGTCTCTGCAAATGGAATGTTCTGTTTTCTAAGTGCAGTTCTGATCAACGTATCGTGTTTACAACAGATAACTGGAAAGGAGGCTTTTTTTTTTCATAACCGAAGAAAGGTGGATGGGTCCAATAGTGAATGGCAGTGTAGTATAGTTTCTTCTATCATTCTCTTATGATAATTCAAAGCTCTGAGGCTGTGATATCCGACTACGTCGGGGGTGTTCTTTTGCTCCACTCATTTTTTGATCCCCGTTACTGTAGAAGCTATGTGTAGCTCATGAAAGGGGCAACCAATGCTTGGAGAGTTGTTGCTAAGTGTAATTTGTAGTGAGATGGCCTTTGCTGAAATATTTTATTTTTGATCGCCAGCGGCAATTGTAACCCTTAGAATCTGCAGGTGAAATTGAGTTGGAGAAAACAAAGCAGTAAAATTTACAATGCCAAGGGCCTTTCATTCAATCCGAGATTAAAATTTTTCAATTTTAGAATTCATAAATGATTATATGAAGTGGGCCTTTTTTTTGTTTGTTTGAAGTAAAGGCTTGTTTATTGAGTCTAAGAGCGCATAGCTTTTATAGCTGCTTTATCTGCCTGAAGTCGTGTGTTCACCTCTAATGTGACACGTTCCCTCCCAGTTATATGATCAACGGGATAAGTCGGCTAGAGAGCAGGGCTATTCTTCTTATGGGGAGGCAAAGTCATATATGTATATATATATATATATGTATAGATCAATATTGTCTGTCGACACATTCTCCGGAATTTCTTATTTCTTTTTATAAATTACAATATTTAAACCGATTGACATTTTCTTTAGTGGCAATATATAAGGTTTAAATACATGGAAGCAGACGTGTGCAGCATCCCATGTTCATGTGCACGCAACAAAAATGCCCTTCCAATATTAAGTAAAGTTTAGAGCTGCATTCACTGAAATGATCATCCTTCAATACTGCATCTACAAGAGGTATTTATTTTAGGTGAATTGCTATCGAAGGAAAGTCTTTAACTTCGTTGATACCTTGACATTGTGATAATCGAAGATTTTATGTTATTTTATTTTCTCTGTTGAAAGCTCTATTTCCTTGATATACCAAGGGGGGGGGGGAGGAAAGCTTCAATTCCAGCCGAGACGGATAAAGGAAAGAATTGTCAAGATATATAAATAATTAATAAATTGTATTAAATTAATTTTTTAGTTGCTAAACCTTCAAAAAGTATAGAATAAATATTACCTTCTCATAATAAAATAGAAATTATATAGTTGCCATTAATTACCGTTAGTAAATGACGGGGAATATACTAGTAATTTTATTTGATCTTTTAATCATAATTAAATTTTAGAAAAATAAATAAATAGATTTTCTTGAAAATAATATTCCTATTTTTTATTTTTAAAATATTTTTAAAAGTAATTTTTTTAATGGAAACCTTCATATTTTTCTTTCTTATATTCTCAATCTCTTTGTTAGAAATGTTTAAAAATATTTAATTTATTGAGACATCGATATTTTAAAAAATATAATATTTTTTAAAATATTAAATATGCAGGTCGAGTATTTTGTCTATTAAATATTACGGTTTTACAGATCAGGCTCATATTACACTGTTGGATTTACATAACTATTAATAATTTTTTAATTTTAAGTAAATAATCTGATTAAATTATTTCATATTTGAGTATTTAAATTAGTATAAATATTAAATAAATATTATTTAAAAATATTAAAATGTTATATAGAGTGATTTAAAAAAAACTCCATTTTTGTAGTTCACCAGATACATTGATGGAACAACTATGTGTAAAATTGTAAATGCAGTTAAAACGAGGCCCACTTTTTATAAAAATCAAAGTAAACGGAGTAGATGAAAGACTATTAAAATATAACTGTGAGCAGGTCATCAAAGAGCCGTGGGATTCTGTTTCCTCTATCTATCCAGGCCCTCATTTTCATGGAGTTTTTCATTTCAAAGGAAAAATCCTCGAAAACAAAAATATTATCCAATAAAAAACCTATCTTTTAAAGATTCGATGACATCAGCAGAAGAAGAAGGAAGGAAATGAACTGTCTTCAGATCTAACAATATCAGATCACTTCACACTCGGTATTTCTCAAGTGCATACTTCATTTTTTTCCCCGGTAATTTTCTCACTTACAAGTTTACGGCGAGAAAACCTACTGCCAATTTTCCATTTCGTCTTAGTTTAGGTTTCATGTTCTTTCCCCCCCCCCCTCCTTTTTATTGCTGCTTTTTCCTCATTTTTTTTTCTTTTCTTTTTGCGTTTAGTTTGATGATTATGGTTTAATAAGATCCTGATTCGCGGCAACAGAGTAGTGTGTTGTTATTATTACCATGATTTTCCTTTGAATCTTGCTGGATCTACGATGGCGAAGTCACGGTGTCGTTTCGGGTGTGATTTTGTTCTCAAAATTGTCACCTTTATCGTATTCCAGTAGCCTGTAACGAGGATTTAGTATAGCTAGAAGTTGGTTTATCAAAGGATTCAGCTGACTCATTGAATCAGTGGGGGTTTCATAATAAAAATTAAGCAAAATATGGAGACTCTTCTTGTGGCGGAGCATAGGAATCAATACTGTAGCAGGGTGAACCCACATGGACCAGCCGGGTTTGGGTCTTCATCTTCTAGAAATTTCAGAGGGATTAACTGTTGCACTTTTCAACCTGGAGCAGGATTACTCCCAACTCCGTTCAAGTATAGTTCTACCCCTTTAACCAAACAACTATCTTCCCCAAAATCACCATCTCCTTTTGCTGATGGTACACGCTCAAATACTACGAGGAATAGTCTGCTATTCCTATCAATGACAACAGAAGCCCTAGAAAGGATAAGTATTTTAATGAGATCTCTGGTGAAGGTTTTATGTACTCTGAGCTTTGGGTTGGACCTGCATATTCCAATTCACCACCTCCGAGCTCTTTGCCGATGCGTGAAGAGGACAATGTCCTTTGATTTACCTGATGCTGACCCAGTTGTCGATGTTTACCCAACTGCCAAGTCCGCACCTTCATCTCTACTAGGGAGCTTAGCCCTTCTTTTGTGGAACTTTTTAATAATGTTGATTCTGCGACTAAGACGCTGCGTCGCATTCTGAATCTTGACAAAACAGATGACTGAAAAGGGTGAAGGAGTTTGAAAATAGGTTTGCTGTGGCAAATTTGGAGTTAGTTTTAGATTGTATATAGATTGAATAAGATGGTTGTTAACATGGATCAGGAGGAGTGAAGTTAGCTTTCATTGGTGTTGTTACGAGGAGTAGTTTTGCTCTATGAACTGATCTCTTGTGAGAATTTGGTACCGGTTATAAATTTTCATTGACAGGTACGGTATGTCTGTAATGTGTGGCTTTTGTAAACTTGGGTGGAATAGAGGATTACTGAGCTGTTCTGGAATCTGTAAGGAGCTTACATGAGAACCAAAGTTTCTTGGCACTCACCTTTGGCATGAAATTGCACTGATGGCTGTCGCTTATCGTTTAGGCTTGAAGTAGATCATGTACTTGTTAGTTGGTGATAGTGTCGGTTGTGTTGTTAAGTTCCAACTATTTTCTTCCTTTAGCATTGTTGTATGTACTGTAGTCTTCAGAATCTCCAGTAAATTGCTTTCCCAAATTTCTTGGACCTCTCCTTTGATGCCTCTTCTCATCATCATTACTCCCTTTACATCCGATCATTGTTCTTTTGTGTCTAATACCCTGGTGATGGTCTTTATTTTTCTTGTAAACTCTTTCCTTTGTCTGTCACTGCCTGAATTGGCTGCTTTACAATCAAATATCCTAAAAATACTGTTTCTTCCATTTAGTAAGTGTTTTCTCTGACCGTCTTTTTTTGTTTTTTAAAGAAGAAGGGGTAGGGGGAAGTAAGGTGGTTGTATCTTCACTTCTGTTTCTTAAGGTTGTTAGCTTTAGATTAAGCAGTGTTGCTATGCCGGTCGCAAGTTGCAAGTGATGCTAGTCTTGTTCGTCGGAATGGGTATTGATACTTCATAGTGTTCTTTCTTAGAGATCGTTGAATGTGCCAAGCTACTTGCAAGGTATTTCTTTATGGATAAAATTTGGTTTAGGCAACTGTTTTAGTTTCAAAAAATATTTGTCAACTGCTGCTAACTATATGCGTGTATATTTCAGTGTGCTAGTGGGATATAAGTATTTGAGGAGGCTGTTGTTGAAGTGTATTTCTTCCTGCTGGATGCCTGTCTGATATGCTTGTTTGCCATTGAATGAGTTAGCTTATGCTTTCTTTATTGCCATGTTAATGTTCAGAGTGCAATATTTCTTCTTTCCTTGTATATTGGGATATTAATGTATTGGAATGCTGTTGCAATTTCTGATACACGTATCTACTTATTCAAATTAGAAAGATCACAATCTGATTTTAGTTTAAACCACTTTATTTAGGTTATATCTATAAAATCTGAAGAAAAATAAAATAACAAAACCAATGCAATTATTCCTCCCAATAATTTAACATCACACGGAATAACAATCAACAAAGAGAAAACTGATGGAGCAAAGAATAGGCTAAGAGCTTGCTTAGATGGCCAAAAAGCTCGACGATGCGATGAAAAGCAAGAAAATTAGCAGTGAAAACGACAGCTTGGCGGAGTTTCCATCTGATGTGCCAACTTCCGTCGCGGGAACCGTCTTAGAACCACCGCCTTTATGCAAAATAATAATAATAACACTAAATAATTAGTCGAATTCATACAATAGTGTCCATCAAAGTTAAAAACTTGATCTAATTATTGTTTTAGTCCTCCTACTCTGCTGAAATTTAAATATTTTATTTTAATATAATTCAATCCTTATCCAAAATTGAAATTGATATCATTATTCTAGAAGTCACTTGAAAATTTGGTTAATTATGTTCAATTAATGAAAAAATTTATAAAGCTGTAAAAAGGTAGGCAACAAACTGATCACAATATTATCCATTTTTACTACATAAACAAAGGGTTATATTGTACCAAATCAAAGTAGAATAATTAAATTTTAAATTTGACACTATAAGGGACTAAAACTAGAATTAAACCTAAAACTCCTCTTATAAGTTGTACCTGAAGGAGAATTTGGAGCCCCAGATGGAGAAGAAGCTGTGGATGAAACACATAAAATCAATCAATCAATCAATCAATCCGAACTTGGAAAAATATTGAATAATAATAATAATAAGAGTGACTGAAAGAAAATTCATTTAGGTTTACCATTGCATTGGCTAGCGGGGGGAGTTTTAACATTACAAGCTGTTGGTAGAGCCATTGCCTGCGTCTGGTTAACACTGATACCCAACGATGAGCCACCGCCGTTAAGGACCTCGCACAGGCACCGGGGCTGCGAGCTCACAACGTTTGCAAGCTGTCGATGAGTTTCCTTGTATATAATTCAAGCATGGGGACATGCTAATGAGCACATTGGTGCAAGTCGAACTCGATTGTGCCAAAGCTCCCGTCCATAAACACACCGCAACTATAAACACGGCTGCAAATATTGTTCCATCCATGCTTCTTGCTGCCATTGATTCCCCAAAATTTGCTCTTAAACATATTGAAGATTTAGGCCTGAAAGGAAGGTGGGATCAATGGAGTAGTATGCTAGCCAGTATTAGTGGGTTGTGGAGGAGAAAGACAAAGGGGCTTGGTTAATTTATAAAGAGAAAAACACAAAAGGAGGGCAGCTGTGCTTTATTTAGTTCACCAACTTTGCTACTTTGTAACAGATCCTTTGGGAACAACTCCTGCCACACAGGATGGAGGTGGGACAATTGTCTCAACTCAAATTTTAAATATTTTTTATATTTTCAATTAATAATATATTTTTATATTTTACATCCGTCCTTTAACACCAACTTAGAAATGAGTTTTAAATAAAGTCAGCTTTAGGTGTCCCTGTATTTTTTATTCAAATTGTGATAAAGAATCAATCATGTATGGGAAACTATAGTTCTTGGTGCTTTCTTTGTGTTGAAGGAAAAATACTTTAAATAAAGTCATCACTTGCCACCATTGTCGTCAGTTGACATCAGCCATCGGCGTCGCCAATTATTTGACTCCAAATTTTTCAATTCACTTCTTATTAAACTCCTGAACGTGAAGCGAAACCAATATTCGTTTAACTCCAAAATATCTCAAACTCAGCAAATCTAGTTTATAACCCTTCAATTTCCTTTAAAATTAAACCATTATAATAATTTTATAGCTAATGCTTCTTTAAAAATAAGTATACCAAAAATCTAAATCTATATCATAATAGAATGCATATTTTTTTATTTATAATATTGCAATATTTTATTTTTATTATGTTTGAAATATTAATTATAAACTTTGAATATTTATAAATTATAATTTTATTTTATACAATTTTAATCTTTAAATTAACTGTATCACTCAGACTCTTTTATATATTTATATTATATATTTTGTTAGATATCGTGGTCGATGATGAGTGTTTTGATAAAAAAAATAGAACTCTTAATATTTGAGTTCAGTTTATGATTGAGAATTAATTTATTTTATATTAGAATTAGATTGAAGTTCAATCATGTTTTCAAAAACTAATATTAATTTTGTTAGAATTAGATTTAAATTCCATCTGTTCTCAAAAATAAATTAAAAATGTTGATAGTAAATTACGTATTAAAATGTTTTCAGTAAATTAGTATTTGTTAGTATTATGCATTTCGTACAAGATTTGCAAATCCATTCTTAAGATCTTTGGTTTTTCAAATCCATTGTAGTACTATTTTATTTGAAATTTAATTATCATACTTTCATATTAATTTTAGTAGTTATATTTTGTTAAATAAATCAGGCATAATATAAATCAAAATAAATATATAAAATTCCAACATGAAAGCTTTTTTTCATTAAGCTAAAAGTAATTACAAATAGTATATGTTTTAAATAATCTCGATTAGGGGTGTTAATGAGTTGAGTGGTTGTGGGCAGCTAAAACTCGACTCGGTTAAAATTCGGTCAAAGCTTGACTAGGGTTGACTCGATTCGAGATCTTAACGAGTTGAGTCGAGCAACAGCTTATTAATTTTTTATAATTTTTTAGTAATTATTTTTAAAAACTATTAATTTACTGATAGATAATGAAAAAGATGATAAATTATTAATCTATTAATTTTTAATAAAAAATACTAAATTATTAATTAATAATTATTATTTTACTACACCCAAAATCAAACATTAATAATATGTTTGTGGATTGTTACTTTAAAGTTTAGACTTTAAATTGCTTCATACAACTTTTCGACAATTTTGGATTAAATTTATTAATTTATGTTTATATTAAGTTCTACATAGCTTAATAGGTTTTATTTATAATTAAAAAATAAGGTAAAAATTTCAATGAGTTTAACGAGTAACGAGTAACAAGTTTTTTAACGAACACAAATCAAACAAAATTTTAACGAGCTTAACGAGTAACGAGTCGATTCGAACAACAAAATTTTAACGAGCATGAGTCTAGCACTACTCAACTAGCGATAGACTCACTTAATAAACACCCTTACTCTAAACTATTTAACAATAAATGTTCAATCAAATTAATACTCAAACCTTTGACCTTTTTATGAGGTATTCTCTAACATGAAAGCTGAAATCTTAAACTGTGTCTGTTATTAGGAAATGTGACCACGTGTTGGTCAATGGTAGACCAGTTATATAAGGATGCACCTGACCGCAGAAAATCATATTCCATATAAAAATGAAGGGGAAAATACGTTTTTAGTAAATCAATTATTATTTTTTCAAAATCATATCTAAAGTTACATTTTAGTCCTGTTTTAATCATCTACTATTAAAATATTAATAATAATATTTACTTGTTACCATAAGATAATGCGACATCATTATTGAAAAAAATAAAAATTTTGTCACGTTAGTAGTTTTGTTTATTTTCACTGATAGAGACTAAAAAGTAATGTTAGGTATAATTTTGAAAAAAATAATTAAATATTAAAAATTAAATAAAAGTGATAGTTAGTGACTAAATATGTAATTTATCCAAATAACTCCGGTTGCGCTGTTCAGTGGGACCACGGTATCATATATAAAGGCACTCAGCACCAACATAGCAAATTAGCAAACAGTCTCAGCTAGATTAGCTTGCTCCAATTAACCCTAAAATTCCTCAAAACAAACTAAAAACGGGAAATTGCGCATCAAATCAAACATGAAGCGCTCTCGCTCCAGCAGCCTAGTTAACATTCGAGTACTTAAGCCTTCGTCCACCACTGCCTTTGCATTTCAAAGGAATTCACACGTCAATCCTTCTGTAATCTCCGTTCACGCGCCACCCAATGCCCACGAGACGGCCAAGGTGGGGATTTTGGCCGTGTCGACGCCGAAATTAACGATTTGTCAAGAGAATCACTTCTTGGACGAATGCTTTCTTTGTAAGAAGTGGTTGCAGCAAAATGACACTAGATTTATGTACGGGTAGGTCAATTATTGTTGATCTTTACTGATCTCTGTTTGTCAATGGAAACTAAACATAGGAAATCGAATCTTTTGTCGTTTCTCTTTTCTTTATTATCTGAGATTCAAAGAATTGTTAATCGCCGAAGTTCTGTTTGTTAAAGCTTTGATTGCGGCATAAAGAAATAACTAATGTTTTTTTTTGAATTATGATTTTTAATTTCTCATATTGGGCATCTGACCGTAGACAAAGTTTATGATTGTCTCGTATCTGTGTTTGGTTCATGTGTTTAAGTCAATTATTGTCATTTATTAACATTATTGAGGTATTTATGATATCTGGGTTGAATTTTGTAATTATGTAATAATAATAAAATTGCAGTGACTTCCGTTCGTTTTGCTCTCTTGAATGCCGCGGTAAACTGATCGGTGCAGATGATGACAAGGAGAAAGCCAAAAGGAAAGATCCAATTGAAGTATCCACCTGGTACTTGACTTGAACATTGCTTAATTAACTTTGTTGGTGCGTAGCTTGTCAGTTTTTCAAGATAGGCTTGCACTTTACGAATTCATGGCTGCCTCGCATATATAATCTGCCTTGACAGCCTTGTACAGTTGCATTACTTGATTTTGTTTTTGTTTTTCCTTCTCTAGGATTAAAAAAAACTCTAGCTGTTTGGGGAATTGAACATATTGTTTCCAATTTCAAGCAGGACTTGTGATGATGATGGGATTTTTTATTTTTTTCAAATGCTGTGGAATTGGGTGGTATTTTATTTTCACTCATAGATCATTTCATTACAGTTGCAGATTCTTCTCTACACTCTCTTTGCATTATAATCATATTTTTACATGAAGA